GAAATGTAGTTGACGTTTATATGCAAAACGTCTTGATCCGACTGATGAATTTGAATCAGGACTTTCAACAATGTACACACATGTTCGTCATTATAGATACGCCTAAATCATAAGCACGCAAATAAAAAAAAAGTCATTGGTATTATATTGCATGAGATTATGGGAAAAAATCGTTCGAAGGTTTGGAGGCCAAATGAAATATCAAGGGATTTGAATGTTTTGCTAGAAATCATTGTAAGTTACAAAGTGTGGCGTGCAAACATTTGCTATGAAACTGTTGTTGGGTCCTCTGGAGAATGTTTTTCCAAAATTCCTATTTATTTTCACAACTTGAATAATCATAATCATGGTACAGTGGTCTATGTACAAACAAATTCTAAAGATCGATTCGAATGTTGTTTTTATGCCATTGGGAGCATGGTAAATACAATAAATTTGTTCTTATTTAATATATAGTAGTTTATAAAAAAATGTAGAGTTGTTACGTGTTCCATACAAATATATTACAGATACAAGTGTTCAAACGTTTTTGTCGTAAAGTCATAATTATGGATGGTGCCCATTTGAAGTGGGATTTTAAGGGAACCATATTGCATGCGATAGCTATGGAAGGGAACAACCAAATAGTGCTCGTTGCACATGGAATATGCAAAAAAAGAGTGGCCTTACTTGGACATGGTTTCTTGAAAAAATGTATGAATGAATTAGTGTTTGTCAAGATTTGACCATTGTAACTAATAAGGCTGATGCAATTCAGGTTAGTATTGAAAATGTTTTCCCAAACGCTTATCATGGTGTGTGTGATTTTCATCTACTAGGAAACATAGTGCCCCAGTTTGGGAAAAATGATAAAACAAAACTCTTGTTTTGGAGGCTTGTGAGAGCTTACAAAACAAATGTATTTGAAAATTTATGGTATAGATTTAGTTCTACTAGGCCGCAAGTAGTGGCGTACCTAAGTGAAATTCAACGTGCTAAATAGACTAGAGCGTATGCCCCGTTGAAATGGAACGATTACATGACCTCCAACAATGCAGAGTTCGTGAATGCTTTATTTATAAATTCAAGGAAGATGCCTATAATACCCCTCCTTGAGTTCTTCCACTGTCTTTCACAGGAATGGTGTAACAAGTGTCGCATGGATGGAGGTATGACTTTAATTAGGTTGAATAATATTATATATATATATATATATATATATGTGTGTGTGTGTGTGTGTGTGTGTTCTTTACAAGGAAACGTTAAACAGTGCTAACTGAGTGGGGTGAAAAAGTAATTAGAAAAAAATGAAGAGTGTACCAAAAGATTGGTCCGTTTCAGGCGTTTCAAATGCAATATATCAAGTACATGATTTTAAACATGGTGGCATAGTTGATCCGAGGCAAGACACTTGTACATGCAAACATTAGGAAGTAACTAGTTTGTTTTGTGGTCATGTCATAATGGTCTTAAGGCACTTGAAAAAAACTGACTTTGGACATTTCGCTATGGACGCTTACCAAATGGAAACGCACCAAAGTACATATGAGGAGGCGGTTTACCCCCTTCCAGAATTGTGTTATTGGGAGCTTCTTGATGAGATGATGGTTGTTAACCCCCGATAATGGATACACGTCAAGCTGGTAGACCGAAAAACAAAAACAGTATCCCGTCACAGGGTGAGGAACCTATAGTAAGAAGGTGTAGTAGATGTGATAGTACAACACATAATGCAGGGACTTGTCCTGCTTTGATCCCAGTTAAGAAAAAGAAGCCTAAAAAGTAGCACGACGTCAGGTAGTAAAAAAAATGGGAAAGGGACGCACGGGACGCAAGGGACGCACGAGATGCAAGAGACGCACGAGACGCAAAGAGAAGATTATAGTTTGAAGTTTGATTAAGTATTTTATGTTTATGAAGATATTGATTGTGTACTTTGATTACCCTGTCAAGGAAATTAGCTTTTGTTATGAACATAACACAACTAAGGATTACATAGAAAATACAATACTTAAACCAGGAAAACACAATAAAAATACATATAGATAACCTAAAAACATAAGAAGTGTACAACATTTTTTTTACCAATTATTAACTTCCGGGAATTGCTTTGGATACTTTTCTTTCTCCATCGTTATGTAGTCTTCCCTAATTCTTATTTTATAATCAAAAGGATCATTTTGCAGACTAAGATCTAACATATTTTCATCCTTCTCAGCAACCTATTTTTCAGTCATTTTGATACTTTTCTTAATCTTTTTAATCCATTCTTCATGCTCTTTGATTTTCTTTTTCTTGATATCTATCCATTGTTCTGCCTTTTTTCATTCTGACACAATGAAATCAATATCTTCAGTGAGATCCCATGATGACTGTTTATCTTGCTTTTGTTGTTCTTCAGCAATTGCAATTCTTTCATAGTTTCATAAGACATATATGGCACTTCCGAAGAGGCTATAACAAAATGGTCGATTGGATCATAGTAGTAACTCATAATGTCATTTTATACACTGTATAACTCTACGGAAGTAACTTGGCAGTTCTCTGGAAGTCCGCGTAACTGACTTGTCAGTCCGCATAACTAAATTGGCAGTCTGCGGAAGTAACTTGGCAGTCCGCGTAACCAACTTGTCAATCTGTATAACTGACTTGGCATTATGGGAAAGTAACTTGGCAGTCTATGTAACCTATCTTTTTATATAATAAAGCTCGTGTCTATATGAAACTCACATCTTTATTCACAAAATGGCGTACAGTATACCAACTTCTTCGAATGCAGCAAATATGTCAAATGCAACAGCTCCATCTAATGGTTCATGTCCATGAACGACAACATAGGTGTTGGTCCTAACACGATATTGGATTACTATTTACGAGGGTGTAGCAACAATGGATCCCCCTCATTGCCTTGTAGGTGATGAATGGTCCCACCTAATAGCTTTGTTCAACCATGAGGTGGGATAAGGACAAGAACAGATAAAACCTGAAATTGTTAGTAAATGGATGGATTTAAATAAAAAAGTCACATGGTTCAATCAATGCTACAATTATGATAAAATGAAACACTCTCATGCAAACGATGAAGAACTTTTTAAAGAAGTGAACGAATATTACATTTTCGAGTTTGATGGAAACGAGTTCGAGTACAAGGATGTTTGGAATCTTGTTAAAAATAAACCTTTTTTTCATGTAGACGACTCTTTTATTTGTAATGTTTTATGTAATGTTTGTGAATCCTATATCTTATTCTTAATGTTTATGTTTCTGCTTGTTATTTGTAATGTTTTTTTTATTTGAATGTAATGTTTATGTTTATGTTTTTTCTGTAATCTTTTTATGTTATTTGTAATGTTTGTTATTTGAATGTATTGTAATTTTGTTTGTGCATTCTGTTTCAAAAAACTAAAGGATAAATAATATAATACAAACACATTAAATATAAATAATCGCTAAATCAAACATAGTACATATAAATAACGTAATACAAATGCAGTACAGGTTAAAAATACGGGAGATCTTTCAAAATATTCCAAGGTGCTTTACAGTTGAAAATCTCTTCGTTGCTAATGGATTTTTATTCCTCTTTAGCTACCTCCAAGATGTCTTCCTCAATATCATTCACACGTGTGTTTTCAATGTTCTAATAAAGATCGTTGAATAACAGAACTTCTGTTATCAATTCATACCATTTTGCTGCTATATCAAGGGTGTTGCATTGATTTTAAGGGTGTTACGATGCTTCTCTAAGTTGGTTTGAGAGTTAGTGTTGAAGGCATCGGTTAACGGGGCCAAAATATTGTATCATTCAACCTGGTGTTCTCATAGACATTAATATATGCACGAGTTAGAAGCAAATACTCCTCTGCAGTCCATGGTTTTGAACTTATTGTGAGAGATACAAAGTAGATATAGTGATATAGATAAGATGAAATGGTACAGATTTTCAAGTCATTTATAGAGAAATATAATTTACGACTTATCAATCCGTATAATTGACTTGACAATCCGTAAAAGTAATTTGGCAGTCCGCCTAACTGACTTGTCTATCCACATAACTGACTTGGTAGTCCGTGAAATGAATATAATAAAAAATAAAAACACATATATTAAACGAAACTATTAAATACAAGTATTTCATATTAATATAAACAAAGTTCCTAAAATGAAGTTATATAGTGTCCCAAATAATATTTGTCATCCTATTTCTATATATAAATCTCGCATCTTTACATGGCTTTCCAATCTTCACCGGTACCACCGAAACAATCATTTCCATAAACATGCATATGAAAACTCCACAATCACCTCAATCTTTGATGTGTTTCTGTTGTGGCACGTCTATACCTTCAACAAAGTTCAGAATTGCAGTGTCTTTGTGTCCAACTGGGAAATAATTCCAAAACTCAATCACGTCTAGCTCCTTGAGATAAAACTATCCCCAAAAATTTTGAATCCTCCACCAACTTTGTACTTACTAAACAAATTCATAGATTGTGCTGAATCATAAATGGTTACTACCCACATTTGTAAATCTAGCACTGCCAAAAACGAATGGACACCAATAACGTTTATTGGGAATAAAAACTGGAAATAATAATAATAATAATAATAATAATAATAATTAAATACATAACAAATTCAAATGGTAATATTGTATATATAAATAAATATTAAACTAATAATATCCACATCCTCATTTAGGATAGCCTCCAACACCATTTGCTATATTACTAAAAAAATGTGATTTTTTAGGTTGCAAATTGATTTCTCGAGGGTATATCGTCCACCTTTCAGACGTCGGTCATCTTTCCATGAGCAAGGCACTACATATTGCAATATGTTGTACATTTTAAGATATAAATGTTATAATTAATTATATAAACTATCATCTAAAAAAGTAGTTAAAATTTAACAAATGTTACCGAAGAAATTAACCATTCAGAGTCAGTAACTACAAGTAACCTTGAACAAAAATCCACATCCAGTGGGAGTATATGCAGCATGTGTGTAGTATTAAAGTTTTAAGAGGTCGTATTCCATTCTTTCCAAAAACCCAACGTACTAGTAGCATGAAGACTATCTAAAAGTCGATGATTTGAAACATCACCAATGTCTTCATTCACAATTTCTTTATTTGTTTTTTCGGGACACTCCACTGCTTTGTTTTTTCCTTGGTTTGGTGATTTCTTTAATTTTGGTTTGGAGTCAATCTAAAAAATTAAAATGTTAATTAATTGTCAACAACGTAATATTTTATAAATACACCAAATTTAAAATAGATTAATACCACTGCGTACAACGTCTGTTGATATTGTGAAAGATCCCTTATTCGTTGAGGCCTAACAATAGGAGTGACTATTTTTTTTGTGATGTCGAACCACCTCCGGTGATGGCTCAACGTATTTCTCCGTAGTTGTAAGCCCAAATTCTCCCCCCAAACCATGCATAAATGTATCATCATAATTCATCCCCATACCATGGTAATGTGTTTCTTCCTCCACTTCATTTACCATGTCCTCCCCACCAATAAACCCTATATGTGGGTTTTTTTTTGTAATACACGGCGTACTTTAGAAGTTAATTCAGCCACGATGCCTATTAGATGCTTCATTAATTTCTTTAAGCTCGTCTTCTTCTTCTTTACCGACCTAGTTGATGTGTCGCTTGACATATGACTTCTTTCTACTTGAGGTTGTTGCGAGGTATACACACTTGTGGTCGTTTCAATCGAAGATGTTTCCGACTTGTACTTGTTTCTTCGAGGAGAAGAGGCAACAATAGGTGGTGGAATTTGCTGCCGCGGGGAAGATTCTACTTGGTTAAGAGTCCAATTCACATAGTGAATATAAAATGGCCACATGATCTCCATCTCGTTTGCCACGACAACAACAGGCTGGTTGTTGGGCTGCAAAAATCAAATTGTTAGTTTAACATGAAAACATTGGAATTTGTATATATATATATATATATATATATATATATATATATATATATATATATATATATATATATATATATATATAATATTATAATATAAAAACCATACCACAAACATGTTGATTATTCGACGATATTGAACCCAAGATAATGATGTTTTTCTTCTCCGTGGCCTCATTTGTGACAATTCTGTTGGCATGTGAATATAATATTGTGTTGCCTCTAGGAAGTCTCGAAAATCCATATCTAAAAAAAAGGGAAGCATGATGCTATTATAGTATAAAAATGAAAGTACAATGGTATTATATAGTACAAACGGAAGTACAATGCTATTATGATATAAAAACGTAAGTATGATAACTAAAAAAATTAACATTAGAAACTTACCTTAAATGGAAGCATAAAACCGGAAACGGTATACTTGTGTATTATCGTCGATTTGGGATTGGCCTACTTAAATAGTTTAAAATTTGCTATTATCTCAAACATTCCACACATCAACCCCAAAGTATAGGTCCAGAAATATGTAGCCCATGCAAACCTGCAATTTTCAATTTATTTATTATAATTATTTTTTATATGTAATAAATATTCTAATCATATATATTATTTGTAAGCTTGTATACTGCCGTGGGAATGCACATTTTAACGTACCGTCTGTAGAGACCTTTCAACATAAAATCAAGCTAGATTGTAATGACCAAAATTTTCAACAAATTTTCCATTTTTAAAATATCACAAAAACATAGTTTGTAGCATCACTCCGTGCAAAAAATATAATTGTCAACATAGAATATCATAAAACAAAGTCAATTATCCCAAAATAGACATAAACCCTAAACATCAAGCTGGTGTTTACAATCATGTCGGTGCCTTCCCGTGGTCCTGTAATGTACGTGAAACACATTTAATCAACATTGTAAGCACAAAAATTAATGAGTCCCTTAAAATACCATATATACAAATAATTAGCCACTCATGGCTAATCCCGATAAGGACCCTCTATTCATGTGTCATAGTGAAGACCCTTCAGTCTCACGTCTCAATATGGACCCTCCGGTCACAGCTCAATAGATACGCAAAATAATATAATAGCATATGTCACAAAGACAGATGCAAAATGATACATAAACAGATAAGACCTTCTGGTCAGTCATACAATTAAGACCCTCCAATCCATAACATGAATACAACCCTATGGTCATTCCAAAAGTTATCACACAGATAAGTATAGTGAGAAGACCCACCTCTCGCTAGAAAAGTAATCAACCTGGTACCCGAATTACCGGTCTAGACTCTACCTGATATAGCACACTTAACTCTAATTAATAAATATTACTAGAAATCCCATAATGCTATACTGAGTCTCTTTACGAAGCCTCAGGGGACGAAAAGACCATTTTGCACCTCCTTGACCAAAAGTCCAGCAAATGGCCAAAAGCTCCAAAAGTCAACAAAGGTCAACACCCAACGAGTATGTTGGGCGTACAACTCTATACGATGGGCATAATACTCTAAATGCATGCATGGGTAAAACTCAACGCTACGCTGCGTGTAGCTAGAAGTGCGTACATTGTACGTCTCACATATCATTCCTCACTCATTTAGTCTTAACCCATTAAGACAAATGCCACAACTATAGATCCAAGCTTTCTAAGGCCTATTACTCCATAAAGTTGTGGACATTGAGCCTTATCATGGCTGAACAAGTCCCAAATTTGCAATCTCTAATCTCTTCAACACCAAAAGCCCACATATCTCATGCATGGGGAGGTCTAGGCGATCAAGTCCCCATTTTTATGAATCTAGACAACCAAATACACTAAAAAGGACAGATTATATGCTATGGAGTTCACCAAACTCACAAAGCTCCAAACCTAGGACATAAAACCCTAAAAATGTACCGAAAACACGAACTAATCAAAACAATGAGCAAGTTTCAAACTTGATACCTCTGAATGATGTACCAACAAAAGAAGAACTCAGATCTAAGAGCTGAAAGCACCATCTATTCTTCCTTCAAGGCTCCTTCTTAACAAAGAGCTTCACAAGAACACTCAATAATCCAATAAGCACTCACACAAGCTATGGAAACGAGATTTAGGTTTTGAGGAAAGTTGGAGGTTGGAAATGGTGGTTAGAAATGAGGCATCGTGTTTGTCACACCCCCAAACCAGAACGGCGGAAACATTCGGGGGCGGAGGACGTCATATTCAGTATCATAACAGTTCATAGAAAGGAAAGTACACACCACCATACATATATAAAGGTTTTAAAAATGTTTACATAATTGTATTCATTACATGTTCAAAAGAAAAATACATAAACATCTTTCAAAAGAAGTAATTAACTCCAGCGCGTTAATCCCAAAAGTTGATTTCCAAACCTGCTTAGCGGTTCCCTGAGAATACAAGTTATTTCAAAGAGAAAGTGTCAACAAATAAGTTGGTGAGTTCGTAAGTGGTTTAGAAAAATTGAATGCCATTCCAAAATGGGTGTATGTTTTCCAAGAAAATCCCTTATTTTCTTATAAAAGTATGAAATGCATGAGAGTATTTGTGTTTGAAAAATGCAGATAGTTGAACCAAGAAAATCCCTTATTTTCCTAATAGTTGTTTAATGTCCAAGACTAAAAATTGGAAGCAAGCCACATGCTTTTAAACATAGATCTATATAATAAACCTATCAGAGGATTTCCGTTTGTTAGATAAAGAATAGTTTTAATAGCTACTCGTTCATCAATCAGAAGTACTATAATAATTGTGTATCCGATGAGTTTTATAACCATACTAAACATAATATGCCTGTAGCGATGTTCTTCAGGCGTCGTAGCGTTATGACAACTGTCACCCCCAAGGATGGACTGTAGCTAACAGTCAGGGCGCGGGATCATGACTTCCGTATAGATCTATACACATTTGACACGTTCTCCTAACGGGAGACTCTGGTTATAGACAGGACTTGTAGCATTACTTTCTAATAAGAAAGTAGTATTTGAAGATATACACGTCTCATGGATTCTCAACTAAGTCTGTATTAAAGTGATAGTTTTGTATGCAAAGTTTATCCTTTTTCACAATGTTTGACAAAGCATAAATCATAAGTTTTTAGAATGTATAAACGACTTAGCAACGAAAGGTACTTTGAAATCACTATATACTTTGTATAAGTATAATGTACGCAAAGTATGAAAAGAGTTTTCCATAGTAGTAATGAATTCCAAGTGATTTATTCGATAAAACAAGCAAAGTGAAACTTTATAAAATACACGATAATAACCGTATGTTTACTTGTATTCCCCCCCTACAAGAGTATAAAAGCATTTAAAATGTATTTAAAGTGTGTTTGAAGGGGGTATGAACTCACTTTATAGTTTGAAGAAGGTGTGACGAAAACCGAGCGGAACTTTGGCTTGAAAAAGCGGATTTTCTCGGGATTCTCGGGAATCTCTGGAGTAAAATCGACCTTCGGGACTTGCACAAAATGACCAGGGCTTCGGGGTAGTGCAGGCACGGAAAACGAGGCAAAACGCAAGAAAAGTGAGAGAGAATGAGCAATTTTTCCCGGAACCCTCGCATCTCTATTTATAGGAGGCTGGAACCGCTTCGGTACGCGGGGCGTACGCGTACGTCATGCATGACCGAGTCCTCGACTGCCTCGGACTTCGGATGGGATGGGAGGGGGGGGGGGTAGGCTCGCATAGGGGCGACGTGGACGATCCGAGGCCAAGGCCTTGTGTACGCTGGGCGTACTCGTGTACGCAGGGCGTACTCGCGTGACTCAGACTTCGGATAATACCGAAGTTTTCAATTAAAATATATATTAATTATTTATCAAACTTCAAAAATTCATATCTCCTTCATACGAACTCCGTTTTCGATGTTCTTTATATCCACGCGTAGGTGAGACTAGAATCTACAACTTTCGTTTAGATTCCATCGGCAAATTCCGAAATTATTTCTATTATTTATTTTTTTAAAAGGTCGGGGTAAGAAAATTCATTAAAAATTCATAACTTTTTCATACGATGTCCGTTTTGGGCGTTCTTTTTATGTACGTTTGGTCGGGGTAAGAAAATTCATAACTTTTTCATACGATGTCCGTTAAAAATTCATAACTTTTATTTTTTTAAAAGGCCGGGGTAAGAAAATTCGTTAAAAATGCATAACTTTTTCAAAAAGTATTTTATTGAAACTTTGCATTTTTACGTAACTTCGTATTGCCGGTTTTTTGTCGAAAAACTTAGAATGGTCATAACTTCTTCGTTATAACTCGGATTTTAGTCTTCTTTATATGCTTGGAAACCTTAAGACGATATTTACTACATAGTGTACTCCGAACAGAGCTTTTGAATACTTCATTTTTCAATGATATTCTAAATCCCTTTTTCAAAGAGGTTACAAGACTCGATCTTCAATGATCTGAAATGACGGGTTGTTACATCATCCCCCGTTAGAGGGAATTTCGTCCCGAAATTTTAATACAAAAGAAAAGTTTTAGGGGCTGAGGAAGAGGTGTGGATACTTCTGTTTCATTTGATCATCTCGTTCCCACGTGAACTCAGGTCCCCTCTTAGCATTCCATCAGACCTTTACTATTAGAATGCAGCTCTGTTTAGTTCGTTTAACTTCCCTATCCATGATCTCGACGGGTTCTTCCACAAAGTTAAGATTTTCATTTAGTTCGATTTCATCGAGTGGAATTACAAGTGTTTCGTCGGACGAACACTTTTTCAGGTTCGATACGTGGAATACTGGATGTGCTTTGTAAAGCTCGATTGGAAGTCGGAGTTTGTAGGCCACTGGACCAACTCTTGAAATGATTTAGAAGGGTCCAATGTACCTAGGATTTAGCTTCCCACGTTTTCCGAAGCATATCATGCCCTTCCAGGGTGAGACCTTCAGAAGTACACGGTCGCCAATATGAAATTCCAAGGGTTTACGTCTTTTTTCGGCATAGCTCTTTTGCCTATCTCTTGAGGATTTCAGTCGTTCTCGTATTTGCACGATCTTTTCAGTAGTTTCTCTGATGATCTCCGGACTAGTGAGGGTGCTATCAGGGACTAGACCTTTTGCCAATTGCGTGTCGCCCACTTCCGTCCAGCACAGAGGTGATCTGCACTTACGGCCGTAAAGGGCTTCAAATGGAGCAGTCTTGGTACTAGTATGATAACTATTGTTATAAGAGAACTCGACCAAA